ATGTTTGAACACATTCACTAAAATTGGGACCTTTTTCTACAGCTTCTGGAAAAACATAAGAACACGGAAAGCATGGTAGAGCTGCTTGAACTGTATCAAATGGAAGATGAAGCCTACAGTAGTCTTGCAGAAGCTACCACAGAGCTCTACCAGTACTTACTACAGCCATTCCGAGATATGAGGGAACTTGCAATGCTTAGAAGACAGCAGATAAAGGTATGGTAAAGGTAACTGAACTTCTTATTAATGGGGAAATCATGCTTTTTAGTTACTACTTACTGTTTATTCTATTATGCAATATATGCAGCGATGGCTTCTCCACTAGAGGCTGACCCTATTTTTCTGGTTCCTCCACTCAGAGGAGTGCTTTTGAAGAGTGAGAAGATCTCTGACATATGTAGCTAACTATCACCTGTTTAACTTACTGTGTTTGACTGGTCAAGTTCATAGCTGAATTTAATAGGTGAAACTTAAGATTTTGTGATGACTGGCAATACTGACTAATATATAAAATAGAAAGAAACATATGTACAGTATCTATGCTATTGTTAGTTCTTTTAAAAGATTATACAGGAAGTTACTTTTCACTTTAGTTTTCTGAGATAATCTGATAAACCATGAGAAGTCAGTAGCTTCTCATTCAATGTTGTGAAACACTTAAACGTGGAAGCGTATTAGAAGTATATAATGTTGTAACACTTTAACAGTATATTTTCCTAAGAGCTAAAAAAGTATAGCCAGCTGAAAAATACTACATTTTGGCAAAACTGTTTTATAATGCGTATGTTTTTATTATTTAAAAATAATTCTAATTTTAAATACTTAACCAAAAATAAAAAAGTCATCTTTATTGCACCTTAGAAGTACTTTTGATAAAATCATTAGTTCATATGCAGATTATTAAGACTGTAGCCTTCTGATTCTTCTAATATATGTGCTGTAACATAGAAACTAAAATGGGTTTATTTAATCTGTATTGCAAATGTCAATTTATCTCAGCCTGGCACCTTGTTCAGTTAGCCAACATTGGTTTTACTGGTTTCAATTTTAAAATACAGTGTTTTCTCTGGTTTTGATTATAGAATGAGGGAGGCAGACAAGAGGATTTACAATTCCAAAACTGTTTTATTCTGAGCTATTGCTGTGTCTCTAAAGTAATTTTTCAGAAAGTTCAGCAATCTGAAACTAACTCAGTGAGGTAATGTGATGATATCTGAACTAAAAGTGCTTTTTTTTCCCTGAATGATAAATGTTGCTGCATAGAGAATTGGGATGAATATTTTTTTTCAGATGTATTATACGGTTGAAGATTATGAACACTACATTTAATAAAAAGCCTTCTTCAAAGCATGATGAAATAGTTCCCATTTTATTTGAATTTGTAGCAGAGGAAAAGATTATTTTTTTTGTTCTTTTGTCAGACAACAAAAGATAAATATCATTGAGTAGGGAATATGCATTGAGTTGTGTTTTGTTTTGGGTGTGTTTTGTTTTGTTTTTTAACCTCAATGATCTCTTGAATTCCAGTTCTAAAATACCTCCTTTTCTCTTTTTCCTGAAAGAATAACCTTGGTAAATGTGTTGGTTTTAGCTGGGATAGAGTTCATTTTCTTCATACTAGCTAGTATGGGACTATGTTTTGGATTTGTGCTGAAAACAGTGTTGATAATACAGGGATGTTTTCGCTGTTGCTGAGCAGTGCTTACAGAGAGTCAAGGCCTTTTCTGCTGCGAAAAGGCTGGGGGTGCACAACAAGCTGGGAGGAGGCACAGCCGGGACAGCTGACCGCAGCTGACCAAAGGGCTGTTCCATACCATATGATGTCATGCTCAGCATATAAAGCTGGGGGAAGAAGAAGGAAGGGGGGCACGTTTGAAGTGATGGCGTTTGTCTTCCCAAGTAACCGTTACACGTGATGGAGCCTTGCTTTCCTGGAGATGGCTGAGCACGTACCAGCCGATGGGAAGGAGTGAATGAATTACACTGGTACTGGTGAGGCCGCACCTCGAGTACTGTGTTCAGTTTTGGGCCCCTCACTGCAAGAAGGACATTGAGGTGCTGGAGCATGTCCAGAGAAGGGCAACAAAGTTGGTGAAGGGTCTAGAGAACAAGTCTAGGGAGGAGTGGCTGAGGGAACTGGGGTTGTTTAGTCTGGAGAAGAGGAGGCTGAGGGGTGACCTTATTGGCCTCTACAGCTACCTGAAAGGAGGTTGTAGTGAGGTGGGGGATCGGTCTCTTCTCCCAAGTAACAAGCGATAGGACGAGAGGAAAGGGGCTCAAGCTGTGCCGGGGGAGGTTTAGGTTGGATATTAGGAAAAACTTCTTCACCGAAAGGGTAGTCAGGCAGTGGACCAGGCTGCCCAGGGAAGTGGTTGAGTCTCCATCCCTGGAGGTATTTAAAAGATGGATAGGCGTGGTGCTTAGGGACATGGTTTAGTGGTGGACTTGGCAGTGCTAGGTTAACGGTTGGACTCACTGGTCT